TGGTCAAGATGGAGGCATAGGTAGATACATTTTGCCTCCTCGCACAACCAAAAGACGGACAACAACAAATTTAAAAACAAAAAAGAACCAGAATTGCCAAAAATCGAACTGTATGGAAATCCGACAACCAAGGAGGTAAAGAAGAAACATTCATCCAGACCAGTAGGAGGGGCAGAGACAGGCAGTTGGGGGTGGAGAAGACGCAAGGCAGCAGCTGGAGGACTGGGTGAGCAAGACCATGGCTGGCAGACTTGGCAGTACCACATTTGCATGCAGATAAACTGGAGGAATAGCTGGGGAACAAGACAGACAGCACAATCCAGGTTCCAGTGCAGGAAAAGAAAGCCTCAAAACCTCTGGCTCTAAAAACCTGTGGAGGTTGTGGCAGCAGGATAAACCCCCAGCCTCAAAGGAGAGCCCGTTGGAGAGACCCACGGCATACTAGAACATACACAAATCCACCCACCTGAGAATCAGCACTAGAAGGGCCCAATTTATTTGTGGGTCGCAGGGGAAGTGACTGAAAGCCTGCAGAGGGCCAAGCAAGCAGCATTGTTCCCTCTTGGACTCCTCCCCAACATACAGCGTCACAACACAATAACGTGGGTTGCCCCGCCTTGGTGAATATCTATGGCTCCATCCCTTCCAATGTAACAAGTGCTCTGAGACAAAGAAATATGACCAATGAAAGAACAGATCAAAGGTCCAAAAATAGAACTGAGCAATGAACAGATAGCCAATCTATCAGATGCACAGTTTAAAACACTGGTAATCAACATGCTCACTGAATTGGTTGAGTATGGTTGCAAAATGAAGGAAAAAGCAAAGGCTATGCAAAGTGAAACATGGAAAAATATACAGGGAACCAACAGTAAATGGAAGGAAACCAGGACTCAAATCAACAATTTGGAGCAGAAGAAGCGATAAACGTTCAACCAGAACAGAATGAAGAAACAATTCAAAAACATAAGTAGAGGCTTAGGAACCTCTGGCACAACTTTAAACGATCCAACATCTGAATCATAGGGATGCCAGAAGGAGAAAAGGAAGAGCAAGACATTGAAAACTTATTTGAAAAAATAATGAAGGAGAACTTCCCCCATCTGGCCAAGGATATAGACTTCCAGGAAGTCCGGGAAGCTCAGAGAGTCCGAAAGAAGTTGGACCCAAGGAAGCACACACCAAGGCACATCATAATTACATTACCCAAAATTAAAGATAAGTAGAGAATCTTAAAAGCAGCAAGAGAAAAGGAGACAGTTACCTACAAAGGAGGTCCCATAAGACTATCAGCTGACTTCTCCAAAGAAACATTACAGGCAAGAAGGGGCTCGAAAGAAGTATTCAAAGTCATGAAAGGCAAGGACCTACATCCAAGATTACTCTATGCAGCAAAGGTATCATATAGAATGGAAGGGCAGATAATGTGCTTCCCAGATAAGGTAAAATTAAAGGAGTTCATCATCACCAAGCCCTTATTCTATGAAATGTTAAAGGGACTTCTCTAAGAAAAAGATGATCAGAAACTATGAACAGTAAAACAGAGGGGAGGGGGTGGGGGAAGAATGGGGAAAAAGGTACAGGGAATAAGCAGCATAAATAGTAGGTACAAAATAGGCAGGGGAAGGTTGAGAATACTATAGGAAATGGAAAAGCCAGAGAACTTATTATGTACGACCCATGGACATGGACTAAGGAAGGGGGAAACGCTGGGGGAAGGGGCGGTGCAAGGTGGAGGGGAATAAAGGGGGGGGAATGGGACAACTGTAATAGCATAATCAATAAAATATATATTTTTAAAAAAGAGGACAGCTTATTGAAAGGCTACCATGCATTGGGCTATACTTTACATACTTTTTCTCAACAACCTTGTGCTATATGGGTGGTATCCATGTTATGTATAAAAATGAACCCTTAGAGGGATTTAGTAATTTGTTGAAAGTCACACAGCTGCTATGTGGTAATACCGAAATTCACAGTCAAATCTATTTCTAAAGTCCATGTTTTTCCACACTATCAAAGATCAATACATGATAACTTACAAATGCATACTTTTTTCTTTTATTTTGATTCTTCCAACATAGAACTCAAAGTTTACCAATGATGTTTACAAAATAAGACAACCAACCTTTATTTACCTTTACATATCTGTGTATTTTTAAGAACAACCTAAGTTTTTAAAGTTTTTTTAAAAACAACATAAAACCATAATTTGTTTTGCTAAAGAAAATTATAAAGGGTCATTAACACTTCTATAATTTTGGCCTATCTATACCTATTAGATACAGATATAATAGATAGATATCTAATCTATAAGATATTTCTTAAATCTGGGCTCACAAAGTTTTCTTTGAGTGGACAGATTTATCTAAGAGAAATACAACACCTTGCTTCAAAATCCTTCTAATACTTAACAGTGGGGAAAAAGGAAAATTTACAGGGAAAATTAATAAGAATGTGTAATATCAATCACTTATACAGAGAATGAAACCATCTTCAAAGATGTAAATTATTGTACATTTCATCCTTGCTATTACTGTTCTTTTCCAGTATCGATAAACACCATTCATTTCCAATTTTAGAGAGAATGGTTTTCCCTTTTTGTTCCCACATTTCCGCCCAAAAATAACACTAGCATTATTATATCATCATATCGTATGAATTTCACAAGTTCACATTTGCCTAAAGGGCTGCTAGTGGGTAGTGAAAATCTCTGTGCTTTCTAATTTAAAATATTCCTCTCCTTTCCCCCACTTCCCTCAGTGTTATAAACCCCACCCATGTCTAGGACTTCTCCCCAGGTAGCTCAGCTTCTTGCCAGTGTACCTTTTTGTTCACCCTAGAAACTTCTCTTACTATTCCCCGATGCATCCTCTGATGAAATGTACTGAAGAGTCAACAGTAAATCTTGATTTACCACTGGAACACAGGTTTAGTCCTTTTATCATGTTTTAGTTAAAATGATTTATAATTATCATTGAGGAAGTCTTTATCTTCTATTTATTCCCCCATTAAACATAAAAGTTAAAATCTCTAAAAAACATAAAGAAGGATGTGTACTTTAAGCCAAAAAATCCATTAAGTGATAGTGAAAAAGATTGTTGGACTATTCACTATTTCAATTGGCACAAAGATAAGAAAAATGTAAAATGTCAAAAAGGAGGCCCTGGGCATTTATACTGGTAAGCCATAGCTCCCCAACAAAGATCCAAGATTCTCATCCCTAACCCCCTACCCTCTAAGGACTAAAAAACAACCACTACTTAGAGAGCTGGTGTGCCTTCACCTAATAGGCAAGCAGATGCTACTCAGGATGGAGAAAAGCTCCAGGGGTGTCCAACGTCTTGACATCTCTGGCCCACCCTGGAAGAAGAGCTGTCTTGGGCCACATATTAAATACAATGTGAAACGTAATCGCAAAAAAAATCTCATAACATTTTAAGTAAATTTACAATTCAGTGTTGGTCCTCATTCATAGCCACCCTGAGCCGCATGGGCCACAGGTTGGACACCCCAAAAATCTGAACTTTTTCCTCCAGCAGGCCCAGCCTCATATGTGGTGATTAGGTCTAAAGTACCATTAGTCACTATTAGCTCCAGCCTAGGATTAGAATAATAACAATAATGAAGATGGCTATTATGTATTGAATTATTATCATATGTCAGGCACTGTGCTAAAGTACACACACACACACACACATATGTGTATATATGTGTGTGTATATATGTGTATATATGTGTCGGTATATATGCATGTGTGCATATGTATAAAATTTTGTTTACTTCTTTTAACAACTCTATGACAGGAATTTATTATTTCTATTTTTCAGATGTGGAAACTGAGGCACAGAGAAGTTAGGTAATTTGCCCATGTATAGATAGTGGTGAAATCATAATTCTAACCCTATTCTAATTGATGCCAAACCTATAATTGTTGGGAACCGTCCTGCCTGGTTTGAGGGACTGTAGCCTCACTAACAGGTGAGAGGGCCCCAAGACTGGAGCTGAGCAAGGAGGTCTTGGGAAAATAGGCCACTGAGGAGACAAAACCTGGCCCCTGGCGCAGCCCCTGCCTCCCTCACATCATCCTGCTTGGCTCTGGAGGATGGCTGGTTAGTCAATGACTGGTAAGACCCCTCGATGGCAGAGACCTACGACAAGCACAGTCACATAGGGGCCATCAGGGAAGGACTTGGGCAACATGGGAAGGGGCCAAAGACCCTCACCCCTCAGCTTTGTCACGGCCAGAGTCCTCATTCTATCTGAAAGAAGTCTCCTTATCTCTTGGCTGCTCTGCTCCACCCACCTGACCAGGTAAGTGAAACAATATTAAAGGCAGGTACATCCCTAAACTGGATCAGGCAGTTCCGAGGGGACAATTAGGCCTGGAAAAGGAATGCATTAAATCCTATGAAATTTACTTTGCTAAGAATGCCCTCGAGTTAGAGTTAATGAGTACTGATGTCTGGGGTCTAGCATAGAATGTGCTCAGTTTCCCAGGTTTCAGGGCTGAAGGGTCACCACCCTGTCTACCACACCCTGACCTGAGGCAAACCTCTGTGTTCCTTCAATCATAGCCTTTGACATTGATTGATGAGCTTTGTATGCATGCTGTATACCCCTGTGCATATTGTTCTCAATAAAAGTCACTTCAAGAGAAGGGCTCGGGCATTCTCCACTAGAGGGAACCACCACTCCCTTTTCCTGGTAGACTGAGAGTGTCTGGAATGACTTATTTTATTCCCTCATCCACAGCAACCCAGAGAACAGCGTACACTCCCATCATATAATTATATAGTATTTATAGGATGATGAACCAATGAATTTCCAGAAATAATCTCACATATTCATACATTGTGGCTTGCCTATTTTTAATTTGCATATCAGGATCCTAACAAGTCATCAGCTAAACTATAGACTTTATTTACCCTAACAAGATATCACAAATATAGCTATTTGAAAATCATGCAAAATTTACCAACTCGTATCTTAGCACATACCTACTGTGATGTTACCCATCTTGCTTTGTAATGTTATATTGCCTGTAAAAGAGATAGAAAAAAACAATTTTATATGTTAGGAATACTCTACAAAGGAACTGTGTTATACTGTATTCTAAAACATGGTTGGAGATTCACAATGTTATTTAATAACATTGTTTTTATTGTTGGCAATTTTTCTCAGTATCAAACACCTCAGATATTTAGTTGCAACTCTGAAATAAATGGCTTTAGGCATCTATATATACTCTCTTCCTCCACTCCACCTTAAGCTTTAACTGTATAACTACGAAACATACCACCATACATTCTGGGAAACATGGAAGAAACATAATACCTCCAAAAACCATAAATGAAAAAAATCATTTAAATGGACTATGCATTTTCAACCTAAAACATTACTGTATTTATCAGACTATACAAAGCCAAGTTTTAAACCAAGTAACACTCAGATAATCTATGAGAAAAAAATAATGCGACTGTTTTTCAGGCCAGTATGCTATGCCTACATGTTAGATTAACGTGGTTTTTGTGCCAAGAGTTAAATAGTTTTGGGGCAGGAATAATGAATACATTGAAATATGACTAACAAATTAAAAAGCTTCAAAGGTTTCCCTCTTTCAAAGAAAATATATTTTCCAGAGATATTGCAACCATTCTTCACAGTTCCCCACCTCCACACCAAAAATAGTAGGCTTATGTGTGTTTGTATTTATAACTACTCTGAGCCATACTATCCATATTTACTACACTGAAGGTGTAAGCAGTATTACCTCTTCTACCATAATTCCAAAACTACACTAAAAAATGAAGGAATAACTATCACCTTAAAATTAATCTACACTAAATAAACCCATTATTTCATTTCATGGGCACATGGTTCATTTGTTCAAGTTAGATGTGCTATGATTAAAAAATCTCTTAAAACTCTTATATTCCATCATACTTCATGTGAGTATATGAACAGGTATATTTGTGTAGGAACAAAACTTAGTTTGTATAAAGTTAAGTTCAAAAAGTTATTTTGAAGTCTCAGTAAGTTATAAGGCTGTAAAGAAACTGTTAAATGTGTTATGTAAATATTATTTCATTGCTGTGTTTTAGGCACTCTCTTCTAGTTTCAAACCCAGTAAATGCAGATTCAACATCACCCACAAATAGTGGCCAAAGATCATACAGCTGCTTCGACAGCTTATAATGATCCTGGCCTCTCAAGTCCTTGTATAACCTCCTCCCCTTATGTTTAAGCTAGACTGAATGATATTCTTCTGACAAAGGAAATACAGAAAAAATGATAGGATGTTACTTTCCAGATTAGGTTACAACAAGATTCTGGCTTTCCTTACTAGCCATCTTTTGCTGTGATGGAAGCCAACTAGGCATGATGTGAACTGCCCTACGAAAGAGGCCTACAAGCACGAAATTCAAAGGGGCCTCTGCCCAACAGGACTTGAATGGAATCCCGTCAACAACCACATAAGTGAGCTAGGAATTAGATCCTCCTTTGGTTGAACCTTCAAATGAGCCCACAATTACAACCTCAAGAAGGCTCTTGGGGTAGAGGACCCAGTTAGGCCGCACCAAGATTCCTGGCCCATCCAAACTGTAAAGCAATTAAATGTTCTCAGCTATTAAGTTTTGGGGTAATTTGTAACACACTAAGAGGTAACTACTACAGATGTTGAAAGCTAGAAGTGGGGTACCACCACAATAAACACCTAAAAATGTGGGAGTAGCTTTGGAACTTGGCAAGTAGGCAGAGGTTGGAAGGATTTTGAGGAACATGCTAGAGAAGGCCTGAGTTGCCTTAAAAAGACTGTTAGTATGCTTCCTATGAGGGCCCATACTAGTGAAGGCAAGTGAGGAAAAATGTTTTGGGCAATTGGAGGAAGGCAGATAATTGTTTAGCAATACTGGAAACTTAGCAACACTCTCACCTTCAATAATGTGGAAAGTAGGAAATATGCCTAATAAACTGAATGATCTAGCTAAGATTTCTAAGCAAAGTGTTATAGGTGATGCCTATTTGTTTCCTTGTTGCTTACAGTAAAATGTAAGAGAGAAACTAAAGAACTGTTAAACAAAAAACAGAATCAGGACATGAATGTTTTTGAAAAGTCTCAGTCTTTCAGATGGCCAAAGATGCTAAGGTTAAGAACGGCTTCTAAACAAACTTTGAACACAAGCACTGCCACACGTGGCCTAAAAATGAAGCTGAGGGGATAAAAGTGTAAAACTTTTGTTAAGACCCCAGAAAGATCAAGGGTGGTACCTCACAGTATTAATGATGTACAAAAAAGTCCTTCGAAAATATTATGGGTAGGTCTCATAGATCCTCAATCAAACCACAGGCCCCTTAGAAAGCTGGAGAGCATTGTATCCCAATACCTCTGAAGAAGCCCATATTGGGGGAGGGGGCAAGGGAAAGTGGTGGGGGAAAAAAGGAAAAAAAAAAACAAAGAAGAAGCCCATATTTTCAAAGGATACTTAGATATGTTGTTTATCTAGTGGAATACACTCCAATGTGATTCACAGGAGGCTGACAAAATTTTTGACAGAAGTACAAGGTCTGTCTGGGAAAAGTCCAGCCATTGTTAATATAGTAAGACTGGTTTGTGCAACTTTGATGTAACCTGGCAGCCAAGGAGAGTGGACTGGAATGTGCATGTGTAAAACAATGATGACTTCTCTGTACTAGTCAGTGGGGGCAGTAGATGCCACTGAAGGAGCATGTGTACTGTGTGGCTGTTGTATTCAAAATGAGTGAGTAAAGCAATGAACCTGCATCAAATTTTGCATTAAGCTTGAACATTCCTCTGTGGAAACTATTTGGATAATTCAGAAGGCTGCAGCTATGGGCAACTAGTGATTGGCAGCTTCATCATGACAATGCACCCACTCATGCATCATGTCTTATGTAGTTTTTTTTTGCAAAACATCAAATCACTCAGGTGACTCAGCCCCCCACAGCCCAGATTTTGCATCCTACAACTTCTGGCTTTTCCCAAAACTAAAATCACCTTTGAAAGGGAAGAGATTTCAGACCGTTGATGAGATTCAGGAAAATACGACAGGGCAGCTGATGGTGAATGGGAGGACCGTGTGAGGTCCCAAGGTGCCAACTTTAAAGGGGACTGAGGCGTCATTGTCCTATGTACAATTTTTCTTTTATATCTCCTTTAATAAATGTCTCTATTTTCCATATTGCATGGATACGTTCTAGGCAGATCTCATATATCAGCAAACACACTGCTAAGTGGAACTAAAAGAGATGGTGACAGTACAAAATTAAAAGAGACCACTGAACCCACAAAATTCTACTGGTAGAAAGTAGACTGAGAAAACTACTCAGCTTCAAATACGTGCTACATTTAATGAAAAAGGAAGTATAACTTGGAGGGAGGAATCAAGAGCTCAGAGAACAAACGTGGAACCCTAAAGAATTCTCCCCTGGCCTTGAGATCTAATCAAGGAACCTCCAACGTTTGCCCATTCAAATGTCAAAATCACCACAAACCAATGGCTCCTTTTTGCTTATCATGTTCCCCCTTTGAACAGGAAAAGTCCAGAACAATTATCTGATGACTATTTCATCATTGTATGTAGGGTACGTAGGTGGTGTGTGGGGGGGTTAAGGTGGGGGTACTAGATAATTTGTTTTAGTTGACAGGTCTTCAAGTTCAGAGAACTATAATACAGGCATACCTCAGAGATATTGCAGGTTTGGTTCAAGATCACCACAAGCAAATATCACAATAAAGCAAGTTGTGATAATTTTGCTGGTGGAGGTTCTTGCCTTTGATTTATAAAACATGTAACATCTGTGAAGCACAATAAAGTAAAGCACAATTAAACAAGATATTGCTGTACATGAGGATTTGTACATGAGGATTAAGCAACTACACCTGAGAAGCCTCTTAAACACTGGATCCGATTTTGATGTAGAGATTCTGAACTCTGAGATGATGTATAATGGGATGAGACTTTCAGGATCCTTGGAAGGAAGGGAGGGTATTTTGCATGTGAGAGGGTCATGAATCATGGGAAGTGGGGTTTAGGGTAGAGGACAGATAGCCATCCAAACCCTTATTGGATATCTGGGGGAGCTACACACATGAAAAGTTAAAAATTAGCATTTATTGATAATTATAAGTTAACCTGGTAAGTGAACAGTATGAATTAGGTACCACAGACATTAAGAGAAAAGAGACTAAAATGACCTAAAATACACAACAAGAATAGCCATATTGGAGATTATCACCATAGTTGAGATTTGAAACATGGGTAAAATTTGAATATGCTGAGGTGGAAAGGTTTTCTGAAAAAAAGAATTACAAATAAGCAAAGATAAAAATATGGAACTATACATGTTACATTTAAATCATGCATCAGTTAGGCAAGTCTATGAGGACAGGGATCACATCTTATTTAGCATTATATTTTGAGAACTTAGCATAGTACCCAGTACATACACAGTAAACACTATGATTTTTTGAACAAATGTTCACATTTAGTTTGGCAAAATTGGTAGAGAGCAATCGTAGCAAAACCATGGAATGCTAGTCTGTTGACTTTATCCCACACTGAAGGAGTCAGCGAAGAATTTCAAAATGGAAACAATACACAAAACCCATGCTTTAGGACAATTAACCCAGTATGAGACAGTGGATGCTTCCTGTTTACTGCTTTTACCTCCTGAACTATTCAAAAATAAGATGAAGCAGACACCTAGAAATCACTAATATTTGTGATTTAATATATTAGTAAAGAACAATGACATAGTTTGATAGTCTGCTTTTTAGTTAGTGAGTCCAGTCAGCCACTCAGCAAGGCAAAGGAACTTTATTATCTATACTAGTCTTCAATGAATGCAGTAAAATCTCACTATTTTTAAATGAAAATACAGTTTCTTAAAGAGTATATGCTTATAATGAAAGTAAAGCAATCTCAAAAAAATAATGATTCTTAGAACCATAAAATAGAGGTTTTAAATTAATTAAAGAATGAGAACTAGTTCATATTATAGTGGGACCTATTATAGGGTTTCAGACCATATCTCTCTTGAATGTTAGAGTTCAGTACAGTAAAAGCATAATGGAACAATAAAACTATATGCATGAGAAATATTTGTAAATATAAATATTCCAAAATATTTTTGTCAGTGCTAATGGACTTTCAAAGCAATAAACAAAAATTATATTTACAACTCATATAAAAATTTTTAGAAAATCTTTACACTAAACAGAAACAGTCCAAAGTCATTAGAATATAAAAAATGGGCCTTTAACCTCAAATACTTTGTGGAATGAGGTAGAATATTTAAAATACACAAATCAACCAAATGGGCATTACTAGCACAGTTTTCTGTATTATGTTTTCACATACTTTATCTCCAATCACTTAAAACAATAAAGAAATCACCTATGTGAGAGGACTAGATCTTTGTAAAAGACTTCTTTCTAATAAAGCAGATGTCATATGATCTATAATTACTATGCGTACTTGCTCTGCTCTCAAGTTATAAAACTTTTCCATAAACCCCAGTGTTTGAGGAAAAATATACAGTTTTTCTTAGTTAGTAACTCTTCATTCTAGCATGGTCAGACGGAAAAATAAGCTATTGATTTAAAAATAAATATTGGTTTATTTTTCTTCACGAAAAGAAATGTGATTATGGTTAAGACAGCATATATACTTACATAATTGAAACAAAGCAATCAAATATCCTTAAAGGTTAAATTCCATTTTTGTGTTTTTTTCTTTGGGGAGCAGGTGCAGGAAGGAAGGCACTTGCTACTTGCAAGCCACAGTTGGGGGCATGTGAGAGGCAACCAATCAATGTCTCTCTCACACATTGTTTCTCTCCCCCTCTTTTGCCTTCCCTTCTAAAAATAAATAAATAAAATCTTTTAAAAAAGAGCCAGGAGGCTATATATATTTATGTTCTAAAAATATATTTAGTAGAATACATGTAAACGCATATCTTATATATGTAGAAAATTCTTTAAAATCATATTCAAATAGTAGAATATAATAAAATGCACTTAACACGATCTAAATATTTTTTGAAGATTTTATTTATTTATTTTTAGTGACAGCGGAAGGGATGAAGAGAAACATCAATGTGTGGTTGCCTCTTGCATGCCACCTACCGGGGACCCAGCTGACAACCCAGACATGCTCTAACTGGGAATTGAACTGGTGGGTCCTCTGGTTCATGGGTTGGCACTCAATCCACTGAACCACAGCAGCTGGGGCAAAATCTAAATTTTGATAACTTAGAAGGAAATCAAAATAGTATACTGTCACAAAATCTTTTACCTAAAAACAGACTATCCAGGTATCTATTCTCTCACTAGATTCCCAGTGCCAGAACAGTGTTGAATCAATGAATAAACTAGTTTCTTTTGTATTAGAAAGCATAATTAGAAAGCATTAATAATTTGATTCAACCAAACTTTCAAATAGTAAATATTACTCATCAATTAGCTTATTCATTACTCATTACTCACTACTAGAAGATACAGGGTGGGATAAAAATGGGTGTACAGTCATCATATGGAAAGTAATATAATAATTAACAAATACTAGTACAAGAATCAATAAATACTAATACAAGAATCAGCTAGGTGCTTCATGCACTCAAAACTGAAATCCTACTTTTGTCACACCTTCTGTATTAAATGAATCAATAAATATAACTGTAGTGGATGCTGTAACTCGTCATCCAGAACTCCTTTTGTAACTGAAGGGCTTATTTGCCAAGGTATTAGAAGTAATGCTGGGAGACAGCTGTCAGCCCTCTCAGGGGCTCAAATAAGGAGACTGGCCCAAGATCATACAGTATTTTGCTGTGTATAATGCATACTCACATTTTTGGCTCAAACTTTCATTTCCTTTTATTTTTTAACTCAATTTTTTATTTATTTATATTTAGACACTTGTTTTTTGTATTATAAAGGAATTTTAGCATTTATTTTTGAACACATTATGGTACAAGAAATCTTATGTAACAATTAATTACAAAACACAAGAACAGATACCAGGTACTTCAGGTACTACCCATATATAATGTGCACCCTTTTTTTCCCCCTCAAAAATTTGGGCAAACAAAGTGTGCATTATACATCACCAAATACAGTATGCCTTCCTGAGGCTGTCTGCATTTAACTGAGACAGGATAGTACACAAGGAAAATTCCTGGGCAAATGGAATGGGGAAACTGAAACAAAATACTTAAACAAAGCCAGACAATTTGACTGACTTGCAGCCAGCTATTGAATCAATCGTAAGACTTTATCCTCCCTCACCAAGGACACCTAAGAACAAATGGCTTCTACCTCTCCTTCCTGACCAGTGAATAAATAGCTTAAATCACACTGGTCAGGGAGATAAAGGACAGAGACCCAATTAATGCCATTTGTGTCAGCCAAATGCAAGGACAGATGAAGTCAGGGGGACAAATAACAAAAACCTAATTAGAGTCAGGCAAACCTGAAGCACTGAAGCTGACCAGAGAATAATCTGAAACTTCCCTATATGCTCATTTTGATGCATCAGCATATTAACAATGTACCTGGAAAGCTAATGAATATTCTACTGAAACCCTCCCCTAAGATTCTTGCCCACAGAAGAAAGATAAAAACTGTCAAGACAAAGGGTACCAGTGCAACTCTCTCTGGAGCATACCCATGTCTGTTCTCAGGCATGAACTTACTTTCTTTCTCCTCAACTCTAAGGGTCCTCACAAGACTTGCACCCAGGGGAGCAGTGGGCAGTGGCAGTTCATTCCAGGCTTAACCCCTGAACCTGTCACCAAGGCCGCCTTTTCTCTGACTTTCCTGTGAACTAAGAGCAGCCACACCTTGGTTCACTTCTTTCCTATAACATTTCTGAGGAGCCAAAGCAAAGAACCACTTAGGCTCTCTCCGGCTGCTTTTCTACCCTAAGTCCTTCCTTTGTTTCACTGTCACCACCTTTAATAAACACATTCTCAAAATTACCTGGACTTGTGCTGTGAAATCTTTCCTTCGTAAACCCATACACTACAGGCAGGTCCAAGGCAGACTTGCTCCAGGCCTGGTCCCTGTCCGATAATAATTGGGAATATAAAGGTCCAGCTTGCTGCACCCCAACTTGAGACAATTATGGGAACCACTCCAGCTACACAGCTCTTTCTTGAGGTTTTGAGACTACATCACAGTCCAACTTCCACAGAAACTGAGCTCCCTTCCTTTGCATGGCATTAGTCGCACAAATCATTCCTAGTAAAGATGCTGCATTCTAACTTCCATTGGAGAGCTTGCTTTCAAGAAGCCCAACCTGTGAAAACAACAGTCCAAGAGAGGTTCTAGGTCTGACCCAAATTTAAACCACCATAGGAAAGGTATTTAACTTCATATTAAAGATCAGTATATATAAAAGGCTTTATGAAAACTAAGGAATCATGAACTCTTTTATCCCTACAATTTGTTTCCATTTCAGCTACTTTAAGTAATCAAGACCCCTAGAGTATTTTGAGGACTGCCTCAAAAAAGAGAATCTGTTTTATTGTCATGTAAGCTATTGATGACAAATTGTACCAAATGCAACTCTTGTCTAACTTAAAACAAAAAAAATTTAAATATTAGTAAATTTAGTATAAACATGGTATAAAGGACTACAGAGAACATACCTGCTCTTATTAAGGATGTTAATTAAATGTGACTTAAGGAATTGCTTTACCATTAAAAGCTATTCATTATATTAAGTACAGTACTTTTAATTGCAATTAACAGAAATGCAATGCTTACCAAAAAAATCACTGTTACAATACAGAGTTAGGAATTATCAGAACTGAGGCACAGCTGAGTAAAAAAAATAAATAAATGAATAAGTAACAAAAAGTATTTGCTTTATTTGGGTACAGCTACATTGGACTCGTTATTCTGGGCTCAAATAATACCTTAACATTGCAAGAATGGTTGATAAAGTTTGACCATTAAATTGAGGTTCAAAATTATTTCAATATAGGTACTCATTTCCTAAGCTTTTTTTTTACATTGTAAGCTATTTGCCAATTTGCTACAGAGCTTGGCTAGCACTAGCCATGATTTCTACCACCTAATAATTCACGTTCACTACTAAAATCTGGAGGTTTTGTCGAAGTGTATAGGTCCCATGTTCAGCTTTCCTATAGAAGTTAAATGAGTGGTCTATATATGGAAAATGTTTCAGATTATACTTCCTGGAAAATGGCCCAAAAGGCATTTAGCAGATGTGTATACACTGTATTTCTTTCCAGGATAAATGACTCTTAACTCTATCTGTATATATTTCAGGAAACATACCTAGACTTGAATCATCTACTGCCTGAAAATTTAAGAAGCATGCTCAGTAACACTGAAAACCAGCATGCCCTTTGCTGTATTTCTTTAGCATTATGTTTTCTATTCTTTTAATAAAATGAAGTAACTAAGTAATATTACTTGTCCATAGAGACATGTTTCAAAAGTCAGAAGATATTTAATAAAAAAAAAGACTGGAAATAGCAGGGTACTGAAAGGACCTGGTGCCAGTGCTAACATACATAAAATGTTTCAGTCAAAATTAGTATCACTAAGTTACTACAATTAAATTCCATACAAGTATTTCGTTAATTCATGTAATTCTTAGCTTTCCTATCATAACACAAAAGCAACCACTCAAAACCCATCTTTACTTTTAACACTGTTTTATTTCTTTGTTCTTTCCTCTGGATAGCTCCTGCACATATTTCCTTGTTGTTGGTATCCTTTTATAAAGCAATGCATTACAAATCATAATTATTATCTTCATATATAACAGCATAATATTCAATTTCTTGCCAAATTATGTAGCTTATGTCACCTTATTTTATGGGTTTTTAAAAAGATGGTTACTCTGTAATTAATTACTTAGAGAGCTGGCTTCCTATTGACAGATCCTTTAACTACAGAGTCATCTCTTAAAATTCATATCATGTGGAAAGTCTCATATATTAGGCCTCTGTCATCTTACCATGAACACTTCCTAATGTAATATCCCCAGCAGCAGAAGATAGAAATGACGATTCTGTATAAAGATACTTGGCTTTCAGCAAACCATCTTCAGTAGAAATATTAACAGAACTTCCTTGCAGTTTATCTACAGTCACAGTCTAGTAAGAGAAAGACTCAAATCAATTCATTATAAAATAACACCGATAAAAAGTCAAAATGGTACCTTCAGAAATAGTGAGCAAAAACATAAAAAGTTACTACCCAATCACTTTATTGACTTTGATTCCCTAACTCTATCAATTACAAGATTGAGAGTAACAGTGTATTCTCTGTGGAATATGAAATAGACCCATTATCTTCCTTCATTTATTTAGATGTTCTTTAATTTCTCCTAATAATGTTTTATATTATATTTTCTATATAGTTTTTCATTTTTTTGTTAAATTTATTCCTAGTAGAGGACTTCTAGGCAGACATGGCTTGCCTCTTTGCATAACCCATCAAAGTCACAACTAAAATATACAACAACCATTACTCAGAGCCATCAGAAATTGAGCTGAATGGAAGTCTGACTACTACAGAATTAAAGAAACTACATCCATCCAGACTGGTAGGAGGGGCGCAGGCGCAGAATGGGCTGGTCCCTCACTCACCTGTGGTGGATAAAAATTTGGGAGGGATATCTCAGGAGCAAGGAGTCCCAGCCCCACACCAGGCCCCACAAGCCCAGGGTTCCAGTGCCAGAAAGATAAGTCCCCACAACTTCTAGCTGCAAAACCCAGCAGGAATTGTGTCCGTGGAAGGAACTGCTAGAGCTCCAAGCAGTTCTTCTTAACCTACTCACTCCCTCTGAACTCCAGCACCAGGATAGCAGCTTGAAAGGCATGAGTGGCACAAAAGGAGGAACTGAAGTGTCTGGCATCAGGATGAGCAGAGGCTACTGTCTCTTTTTTAAACCTTCCCCCCACAGAGCCAGCAGGCTGGTGCCATCTGAGACTCCATCATCCTGGCTAACACTACTTGACAAGCCTTGGAGATCCCCAGAGACTCTGCCCGACGAAACTTACAAACCCACCCAAGCTGCTTTTCCATATCAATGGCTAGTCTTGGCTCAAGCAGCACAATTTCCTAAATCCTCTCAAGCCAACAATAGCTGGGCTCAGTAAGCCCAGGGCCTGGCACTAGAAGCAGCCAGCCTAGATTCACAGTTTAGCTTCACCTGGGAATCTCCAAGCTCAGCACAAGTTAGCAGCCATCTCAGATTGCTTCTAACACAGGCAGAGTGGCCCCAGGCAAACACAGATGAGGGCTGACCTTGGCCTGCACCATCTGGGAAACCCCAGAGCCAACACACCCAGCGGACAGCTACAGACCATGTGAGAGCACCACCACCTTGCCCCTGCACAGCTGAACCTCCACAGAGGATGGAGGTTGGTTTTAAGGGTCATAGCCAATCCTTGCAGCTGACTGGTCTGGGTAAATCCCTCCCATTGATCTGTCAACAGCAACCAAGGCTCAAGTACAAGGGTGTACTCAGCCTACACAAAGGGTGCGCACCTTGATAGGGGAGGCTGTGCCACTGGACCCTACAGGACACCTACTACATTAGGCCACAGTATCAAGACACAGAGTCATATCAGCTCTACTTAACACATAGAAACAAACAGGAACCGATCAAAAAGAGCTAAACAAAATGGAGATAAGCAATCTATTAGATGCAAAAATCAAAACACTGGTTACAAGGTTGCTCAAGGAACTTAGTGAGGACCTCAACAGCATAAAAAAGATCCGGTCAGAAACACAGGATACACTAATTGAAATAAAGAAAAATTTCCAGGGAGACAACAGCAGGGATGAGATGAAGAGTATAGTAGGGATGAAGCCGAGAATCATATCAATGATTTGGAACATAAGGAAGCAAAAACAACCAATCAGAAAAAAAAATGCAAAAGGAAAAAAGGATAGTTTAAGGAGCCTCTGGGACAACTTTAAGCAGTCTAATATTTGAATCATAGGAGTATCAGAAGAAGAGAAAGAGCAAGAAATTGGAAATTTATTTGAAAAAATAATGAAAGAATACTTGCCTAACTTGGTGAAGGAAACTGACATGCAAGTCCAGGAAGCATAGATTCCCAAACAAGGTGGATGCAAAGAGGCCCACTTCAAGACACATCATAATTAATATGCCAAAGGTTAGGGATAAAGAGATAAATCTTAAAAGCAGCAAGAGAAAAGAAGTTAGTTATCTATAGGGGAGTTATCTTACCCATAAGACCGTCAGCTGATTTTCCAAAAGAAACTTTGCAGGCTAGAAGGGATTGTCAGGAACTATTCAAGTCATGAAAAGCAGGGACCTACAGCTAATATTGCTCTATCCAGCAAAGCCATCATTTAGAATCGAAGAGCAGATAAAGAGCTTCCCAGACAAGAAAAAACTAAAGGAGTTTATCATCACCAAACCATTATTATATGAAATGTTAAAGGGACTTATTCAAGAAACAGATCAATCCCTGAGACATTTGGTGATTTGTAAGGACTCCCAAGGGCTTAAAGGTAGTTGACTGTGATTGGACCCAGATTAGGATGTCTGTGTTTTTATCCTAAACACTAGCGTGACTTCTTCAACAGAGCAGAATTTCAGAATGTGTTTGTTCAGGAAAGAGCATTAGAATGAGGCCAGAGGCTTCTGTGAATTCTGTTCATGGCTGATTCTCCAGTGCCTCAGGTACTTCATAGAACTTGCTGGTCTAGTCAGACCTCCTCCTGTACCCCTGAGGAAGCTTGGCTGTAGCATTTGGGTCAGCAAGGTCAATGTGGGAATAGCTCTTCTCTAAACAAAACAAAATCCACAATCTTCAAGATTTATGTGTTTTTTGTTTTTGTTTTTAAAATCAGCAGATGGAGAGAAGCTGAACTGAGAATCCTGCAGAGTATGTGACTCAGGAATCACACACAGGCTCTGCTTTATTCCATTCTTTATCTTGATAATCTATATTTTAGTTCCAGCAGTTTCACAGGCTTTCTGTCTAGACCTCAACCCTAAGCTCCCAGCCTGTCTCCTATGGCATGGGCTGAAAGTGTGAAAACAAAACTAAAATTTCAAAAGAAGCATTGTTTAATGTAGAATTATATTTTGTATTAGATTACCTAAATGTCTCTAGTGGTTTTCATTCCTTTAAAAGTTTTTATTTTTCAGATTTCAAAAATAGTAAAAGATCATTGTGATAGTTATAGAATAACAAACAGTATAAAAAATAAAAATGATATATAATCTCACTAAAAAAAATGAAAAAGATCAAAGCTATGAACAATTAAATGGCCAAAATACTTACCTATCAACAATTGAATCTAAAAACAAACTAAGCAAGCAAGAACAGAGCCAGAATCATGGATACAGAGCTATGGTGGTTGCCAGATGGGAGGGGCTGCAAGGGAATGGGTGAAGAGGTGAGGGGATTAAGAAGTACAAATAGGTAGTTACAGAATAGCCATGGGGGATGTAAAGTATAGGAAATGGAGTAGTCAAAGAACTTATGGGCATGACCCAAGAACAGTAACAACGGTGGGGGGATTGCCTGAGGGAGTGAGGGATGCTGGATGGAGGGGGGAAAGAGGGTAAAATTGGGACAGCTGTAACAGCATACTCAATAAAATATAATTAAAAAATAACAATAAATTTAAAAAATGTATTCCTAGTTGATATTTCTAAGTGCTATTATAAAAGATATTTTTAACTTCATTTTATCCCAATTAGCTGATTTGAACTTAAATCCAAAAACTTCACTACACTCACTATTCTGATAATTTACCTGAATTTAAAAAATTCTTACATGCATAATTATACTATCTACAAGTGACAGTTTCTTTTCTTCCCTTCCATGCTTTATATTAATAATGTTTTTCATACTCCTTCTTCCCATACTAGCTGGCTCAGGCCTCTAATTCAATGGTGAATAGAAGCCAGGAAATAGCAAGAATCCTCATCTTACCCCTGTTGTCAGAGGGGAAGCTCACAACATTCCATGACACAGTAGGATAGCTGCAATAGACACCTTTTTGATCCCTTTTATCAGATTAAGGGAGTTCCCTTATATTTCAGTTTTGGGGGTTTTTTTGTTGCTTAAATCACAATGGGTTTTAAATTTTAGCAATATTTTATCTGATTTTGTTAGAATCATGATTTTTCTCCTTTAGTCTGTTAACGTAGTGAATGTACTATTATTTTTAGAATTTTCCACTTCACGTCTAATAAGGCTGTAGCTTTCCAGTGTACAAAAGAAAATTTGTATTTATCCCTAAATTTCCCTAACAAAATGCAGTATGCAATTATGTTTCAAATATTAAGCACAATGTAAAATGAAGATATCTAGTCTAGGATTGCAAATCATCTTTGTAGTATTTTAAACAAATAATTTTTAAGCACAAAGTGAACGTTAATATAAAATTGACAGAGAAAATGAAATCACCAGGAAGGCTTGCCAGTTTTGTGAAGGGTCAAATTCAAGTATTACACTGGGGTGTTTTGTCAAGGGTCAAATTCAAGTATTACACTGGGGTGTTTAAAAATAGAACATCATTTTTTTCAACACATGGGCATCAGTGTAACCTGCTCCTGTACGTCCTTCAGAAACTGTTAAGAGTTCGAAATATTTTTTAATAAGAACTGAGTTTTAAGAATACTAAAGTATAAGAAAACAAATACAAGTCTGAAAAGAGTAAAGTATCCTGATTCTTATGAAAAGCAAGTTAGAATTACTTGGCCCTCTGGATCTTAAGTATATAACTTTCTTTTTTAGTGGACTTTTATTAAATATATAACGTACACCCAACTGCTTGTCTACTACAGTTTGTTTTAAGCTACTTACAGATTCACAAGAATTTTTACTTTAAATTTAGTTTTAAAATTTGTCAAAAAAGATAGACATATTTGATTTTGTGGTAATACAAATGTTTTGTATCCTGCAGTGTAATAGTAAAGGTATAAAAATTCCTGAAAAAAATTTATTCTTTACCTAAAATGATTCATGAAAAGCTGTTTTATGCCTGGTTTTAAATTCTCCTACTTATTGCCTAACAGGTAGGAATACTCTAGCTTTTTACAGATACAGAAATTGTTTTAGGGAACACCAAAAGATAAATAGATAAATATTGAGACAATATTTGTTAATTGAACAGGCAAACGGGCACTTTTGATTAGACTCTCCTCACAACCAAATGAAGTCTTTAAGAGAAGCTATGAATATCTGGAAAATGTCAAGGATTTACTTTGTTCATTAAATACTAAATATTTTACTCTGTAGGAAGCTAGAAAAATATCTGCCACCAGCCCACTAAAGCAAATGAAAGCAAGTGAAAAAACAGTACAACATTTACTCACAATAATATAGTTATTTTAACCAATCATTCTATAAAATTAATTTCAGACAAATTCAAACTTCACTAATATAATGCACTATCAGATACTAACTATTGTGAAACAATTAAACTTAGGATACCACAGTTTACAGCAAAATATCAAGGCTCTGATGTACAGTTATTAATGATAATGAAACAAATTGTCATAAAGGACTCTGGATTAAACTACATAGTTTGCTTATTAACAGAAATAGCTATTTAAAGAAAGAAAAAGAAGTAGAGCCAAAAATCAATACCTTCCTGACAGAGATATTGCCGTAAATTAATTTTCTTTCCTACACAAGAGGGAAAACTTTTCTTAAGTTTAGTTATTATAAATCAATATTACATATAATGAAAATCAAGTTTTAAGAAAGCACTGTTGCTTTGTAGCCCAACCTAAGAAAGAGAGGTCAACTGACAACTATGACATTAATTCATCCATCAATCAGATGAATCTCTATCTTCTCTGTACCAAACTTGGGGTATTGAAATTAATGATATAATTTAAAAACAGCAACTCCATATAAAATACATGTAAAGAATGCTGTTAAGTGTTTACAGAGCTCATTTGATTCTCACAATCTTGAGTAGGTAAAACAAATAATGTCACCCTGTTTTATAAATAATGAAATGAAGTCTCAGTAAAGTTAACTGGTATATCCAGGACTGGTCAAGCTATCTTTATTTTCTGTTTTTAATTTACCTTTATCATCAACATTATAATAAATGCCATATTAGTTAGCTATGTGCTAGAAATTAAGTATTTTGTCTGTATTAACTCATATAATCCTCATTACAACCCTCTGAGTTAAGTATATTATTATTATTATTCCATTTTCCAGAAAATGAAGATATATAGAGATTAAGTAACTTCTCTGAAGTTAAAGAGTTTAGTAAGTAGCTGAACCAGGATTGAAACCCAGGTAGTTTGGTTCTTAATTCTGTGCTCTTATCCAACTCACTATGCTGCCTCTCAAATGTGCAATTCAGATGTCTGTAAAAATAATATATTAAAAAGTTAACATTTCATAAGCATTTATTTTATTATAAAAAACCCATAAACATAGAAATATGCTTTAAAAATTAACATTATAATATAAAGAAATATCTACATTGATTCTTTAGTACAACACAAAACTCAGTCAAGCAAGAAACAAAATAGTATCTCAGAAAGAAGGTATAAATGAATATGCAATAAACCATGAAAGTTGGAAGAAATAAATAATTTCTTCCCAGTGTTTATACACTGGGTGTAAACAGTGGCCAAAATATTCAAAATAGCAAATAATTAAGAGATGATTTAAATTATTCAATACTTATATTTGAATGTCAACATGCAATATTCTAGTAACTTAGATCATTTCACATAACATAAGCTATCATTTAAAGGACAGAATTTGATGGAGGTACAAAGTGGTCCAATTTCCCTTTTGTATCTCCAAGACCACAGCAATGTGAGAAATGAAACTAAACACCATCTCAAAAGACCTGCCATAAAGGCAATGCAGTGTCTTTCAATACTTTCTTGGTTTAACTTAAGGATAAATTTAAATGTGTGGGTTTAAACAGTCTCCCACAGGCTGATGACAGAAAGTAAAAGTGACAACAGTAGAAACAATTAGTGTTATAATCTACCTTGTTTAATTACTCCAACAGTAATCTACCTATAAGGTATACTCACGACTTCTCCAGAACAATTATCTGGGAATACAACTGAATATGGAATTTAACAAGTTTATAACAAAAGACCCTTGCAAACTGTATAAGTGCAAAATAATAGGTGCCTTATATCTTTCTCAAAGATTTAAAACATTATCAATCATGTTAAAAACTTTGTGACAATTTATAGTTCAAAATTACATCTTTATTTTTTCTTTTGTTTCCCTTGCATGGGAAAATATATTGAATTAAAAATTTTCTATGATCAATGTCTGAGATTTTTCTGCCTGTGTTTTCTTCAAGGATTTTTATGGTTTTGGGTCTAACATTTAAGTCTTTGATTCGTTTTGAATTTATTCTTGTGTGGTATAAAAAAGTGGTCTAGTTTCATTTTTCTGCATGTAACATAAACAGCCCTATGTTTACTGCAGCATTATTTACAATCCCCAAGACATAGAAGCAGCCCAAGCATGCAAAAGATGAGTAGATAAAACAACTATGGGACATTTACACAACGGAATTCTACTTGGCTGTAAAAAGGAAGAAATATCTTCCCTCTCCAACATTATGGATGGACCTGGAGAACATCACGCTAAGTGAAATACGCCAGTCAGAGAAAGATAAATACCATATGATTTCACTCATATGTGGAATCTAATGAACAAACTGAATTAACAAGCTAAACAGAGACAGACTCATAGATGGAGAGTAGATGACAGCTAGTCGGGGTTGGGAGGTTTGGGGTGGAGGGACTGAGCAAAAAGGAAAAAGGACTCACGGACATGGACAGCAGTGGGGTGACTGCTTGGGGGAGAGGGCATAAGGGGACTAAATGGTAATGGTTTTGATCTTCTTTTTCTTAAATAAGTCCTTTTAACATTTCATATAATAATGGCTTCATGATGATGAACTCCTTTAGCTTTACCTTGTCTGGTAAGCTTATCTGTCCTTCCATTTTAAATGATAGCTTTGCTGCATAGAGTAATCTAGGTTGTAGGTCCTTGAAACTGAACCTAAAAAAAAAAATTAAGCAAACAACCAAAACAGGAACAGAATCATAGATATGGAGATCATTTAGAGGGTTATCAGCTAGGAGGGGGAAGGGGGATAATGGGGGAAAAGTTTCAGGGATTAAGAAGCCTAATTGGTTGGTACAAAATAGACAGGGGGACGTCAAGGATAGTATAGTAAATGGAGAAGCCAAAGAACTTATATGCACAACCCATGGACATTAACTAAGGGTGGGGATTGCTGGAGGGAAGGGGGGTACAGGGAGGAACGAGGCAAAGAAGGAAAAAATTGGGATAATTGTAATAGCATAACCAATAAAATATATTTTAAAAAATACAAACTATGTTATAACAACCAAAATCCCTAAGGTTAATAAAAGATTTTGGAGAACAGTAATGCTATCTAGTGGTGCCATCTTGTGGAAAACCTGAAGAAAGCTGAGTTTTGAAGCTCATCCTTCAATTGCTTAAAAGCAAAGTAAACAGGTCTTGGAAAAAACACTCAAATAAACCTAACACATAAGAAAAATTTAATCCTAGCTATGGTGTATTACTAAATTATCAGTTTTAATCCATGATCATAAAAATCTCTTTAGAACTAGAATTAAATATTATTTAAAGATGTTATTGATTCCAGATAAGAAACTAAATAACTGTCAGTATTAAATCACAAACTAAAATTTAAATTGTTAATATTTTATCACCTCAAATGATAATATTTAATCACCTCAATTTGAAATTTGAATTTACTAATGAACTAAAATGCAGTAAAAAGGGAAAGTTATGCACAAATTTTGTGCAACCTACCCACTGTATAAGCTAACTAGGTATAAAACTGTAATTACTAAAAAATGAAAGTTTCAATCTTACACTTTTATCAGATGCATGAATATCTATATTTCCATAAACTGTTCCCAGACAGATCACCTTGCCTCCTTTTGTATGAACATGTAATTTTTGACTCTGAAAGACAAATACAAAAATAGACATAGAGAAAATGAGAGAATAAATTTAACATACTAATAAAAAGATTTCTAACATTTATACATTTCTTTTAAAATAGTAACAAAGCAGAAAAGAGTAACCAGGAATTAAACAGGAATGCATTGTTTGGAATAATAACATCAACTTGAAGAGAACTGTCAACTGCTGTTACAGAGATTAAATAAACCCTGTGGACCCAAAGAGGAAAAAAGGAGCTACTTGGGTGTTCCAGAGGCTTCACTGAAAAAGAACTTGGGGATCAAAGATCACTGACTGCCAACAAAACATAAATTATGATGAAGATGGCAACAATAATCTGTTACTGTTCATTGTTATTAATGTTCATCACAGTATTTATCACTTATCTACTTTACTTTGCATCAAAATACAAAACTCACTACTTTATATTAACTATCATTAAATCCTCATAGCAACTCAGAGAAATGGGTGTCATAGTTTCCCAATTTTACAGAAGAAATTCAAGATTCAGAAAACTTAACTTCATCATCTGACATGGTTAGAAAAACAATAAAACCTAACAGAATCAAGTTCTGTATAATTTCAAAACCCATACTCTTATGGCTGGATTCATCTGAAGGATATATTTCACACTTAGGACAACAGCCATACAGAGACTGTTAAACTTTGTGGCAGGTCACCCCAGAAACTGAAACTAAGTGAAAATTCCTCTAGGCACAAATAAAACAGCAGTCACAAATTGCCTCCTCTGCCAGGCAAAAAAAAAAAAAAAAAGAAAAGAAAAGAAAAGAAAGAGAGAGAGAATGTGTGTGTGCATGTGTGTTTAACTTGATCTCACATTTGGCAACTGTGGCAGAAACTACTACAGGGTCACAAAAATCCATTTTATTCCAAGGATTTAATAGGAGTATAACTGAGCTCATGAAGAGATGGTATTTCCCAGCTTCTATCACCTCTTAGGTGTTACTAAGTTATTGCCAAGAGGTTGTAAATGGAAATGCTATGTGCAATTTTCAGATTTGTGCTTTTAGAATAGTCAGTGTGCCTTCTTTGTGCTCTACCCCTTCCATCAGATGAGTGCACACTACAGTAAGGTTCTAGGATGGTAGAGACAGAAGACGGAAGGAACTTAGAATCATTGAATAGAAAAGAGCCACCCACACATTTGAACACAAATGAGAGCTATAATTGTATATAAACTATTAGAGCCTACGTCTATTTTTTAGAGTAGCTAACTTTACCTTGTCTTACATTTACATATGTCTTCAGTTCTGCTCAGTTATAATGAGAAAAAGAATAGGTAAATAGGAGAGAAAGAAAAAGAGCAAAAGTAAACTCACTAATATCATGACCAGCAATAGCAAAGTGTCTAAAACATAGGGAGTAAAAAATTTGAAAAAACAATTTACCTTATAGTTGCTTTATTCAGGGGGAAAAAGAGAAGAACCTTAAGCAAAATAACCCAGAAATGAATTTCAAAAAAATTTTATAAAAAAGCACAACAAATCATTCTTAGAGATTTATCTGTATTACAGCATAATAAACTACTTCATGCCCAGAGTGACATAAGTCTGAAGTCAACTGATGTATAATATAATCTTTATCAAGCAGACAAGTAATTGATGATCATTTAAAAAGATTCAGTATTTGCAATAAATATGATATTCAGAATAATAGCTTTAGTCTGATACTGCAGTTCATAGTTTAAGGTTTTTATTTTTTATTTTTAAATAATGCTGAAATAAAATTGGAAAACTGCTTATACCTTAACAGAGTGTAAGGTGCTAGTCCCCTGCTCAGTTTCAATTTTGCAATTATCACACTCAATATTTTGGACTTTTATACAGCCAGACCCTGATGACTTGATATTCAAATCTAGAAATGAAAAAAAAAAAAAATACAAGTTAGTACTATAGCTAATGGGCTCCAAAACATTTTTAATATCCCTAGAAATCAAACTCCTCTGTTATGTTCATACTACTGAACCCTGGAGAGAGCATAGTTGTCAGCAGTCTCTCTCATGGTCTCCACCATGGCAACAGAGCCAAATGTATTGCCTTTTTCTCCCCCTTTTTTTTAGAAATACAGCAGTTGTTTCTGTTGGTCAATATCATCTAAAGGGAGAGAGTTAATACTGAAAGAAAGTAAAGGAGGTTAGAAATTCCAAATCTTAAAGGCACTCCTGGGAAGAACATAACGGCTTCTTTCCCACTGAGAAAATACACATCACAGAGTTCTAGTAAGAATACAGCAAGTTAGTTAACAAATCATTTTGGTAGACTGGATAAGTCAGTTAGCCTAATCTTTCTTATATTCATGAAGATTCAAAATATTTTCCCCAAGCCTCCCTCAAATGAAAAGCATTTTGCAGCATTAGCATGGATCAGCATATATGATCATAACTTAAAATCCTATCTCTAAACTTTTGTTATCTAAAAAAAGAAGATATTAACATGCAGCATATCATACGTATTTTCAGTAATAAAAATGGGAACAACTTCGAAAAATCTAGTAATAAGTGATATTAAAACTTTACAATTGTGGATAACAGTATTATCTGAAGAAAACTGTAAAATAAAAGAGTCAGAGGTGCCATCCTTGGCTATCATTTAAAGTGTAATCTTAGTTGTCTCTGTATAAAAATTAAAAGATAATAAGCACTGATATTTAATACCTAATTCAAATAAATATCAATGATTTCCCTTAAACCAGACTAGCAAATACTATGTTGTCCCAAATACAAACTATTGGGGTATAACACCACAATTTCAATAGTTATGGCACAAAAATTAATTCTTATGGTTTTGAATATTGCAGTCTCTATAAAGGCTTAAAATAACAATAATATTTTGGTTGGGATTAATCTAAAATATATAAAGAGACAATTTTACCTCATACTTCCATGGGTGCAAATGTAACTGCAAAATTTTTACCCAGCTGTGTTACAACATAAGCCTTGATCTAAAACAGCATTGATGGTCGTGGAAAGAAACATTCTAAATACACTCAACCCTCACTAAGTAGGTATAGAATTAAGGCAAGACACTGAACGGCTGTAATACGCTACCCTCACCCATTCATAGAAATGGGTCTAGACAAACTGGACCCATATGTATGAAGAAAACTGAATTATGTTGATTTAAGGAGCTTATGGAATCAACACATGGAAATAGTCAATTGGAAATGGGGTTCTGGCTCTAAAGAGGAATCAGCAAAAATGAGATTTGGGATCACCAAAACAGGTAGTTCCATTTTCATCTGTGCTGCCATAAAATTTTGTGTATCTCTATTTCAATATTCAAGTCTATTTTTATTACAATAATATATTGGAAATCATCCTCTTCATCTCAGACTGTTACATTTTGAGGTTAAGGGCCTCATTCATCTAAGTTAGTTAGAAGATGAGAAGCAATAAAACATAGTGGTTCAGCAGACTCCAGTCAGCTCAAATCCCAGTTCCACCCCTTTTTGTCTGAGAGCAAACAGGCATATTTCTCGATCTAACCTCACCAGAATATAAATTTCATGAAAGCATAGACTCTGTTTTCTATTTGCTCACCCACAATAAATATATACTTCATGAAACTTGTTGCATCTCAATTTCCTTATCTGAAATGGTTACAAAAGTATCTACTTTGTAAATGCAACTGTAAAGATTAAAAAGGATTATTTTATAAGTGTTAGCTGCTGGTATGACCATCAATAATGTCATCCTTCAGTCTCAGGAAGGAGGAGAACTTGGGGAGATTTTCCTAGGAAAGTGCTGGCTTGCATTTGAGAAGTATCACTCAACTCAAACACCTATCTTGCAGGCATTATCAATTGAAGTTTCCCAGGCAGTCTTACTATGTGTTTTCCTTCAAAACCTGGTACTCGTGGAAAATTTACTTAGGCCAAAATATTTGAATGGAGACGTATCAGTAGGAAGCTGGGTGCCTATTTGAAACCAAACACTTGGTCCACATTAGAAACAGAACATCCAATAGGCAGGACTGTTTCGGAACAGACCCCGGACTGTAAGCAAGGGGAAATGTGGATAGACTGCCATACTATTGAAGGGATTATCAAGAAAGGTCAAACCTGAAAAATAAACCACTTTTCTATGACAGTGCAGTGACAGAAATAGGAACAAAGTGCCAAAGGAGAACATAAGGGGTTCCATAAACGTTATTCGAGTTATATTATTCCAAATCATGTTTCCATTCGATTTATAAAACTTCTATGAATGGGATGCTACTAATGGGAAACACAAAGAACAGAAAAGAAAAAAAAAAAGCAGCAGCTATGAAGGGAAAAACTGTAAATTAGAAAATCAGATCCAAAGGGATCATCTAAAAGTGCACGTCGGCCTGGGACCCAAACCCGTTTTAACTTCACTTCACTTGCCAAACTTCAGGGGCGCCTGCACCTCCACGGACGCCCGGGGGTCAATGGTGTCAGACTCAATGGCCACCTCCTCCAGCGCCTTGTCGTACTTCACCTGCAGGCTGGCCAGGGCCTGCGCCCCACCCTCCACTCCACTCACGGCGACCAGCACGCGGTCGGCATCCGGGTAGGTCAGAGGGTCCAGCGGCCTCACAGCCAGGTTGCACGGAAGCCGCGCCCGCAGCCGGCCAAACGGGCTCACCAGCAGCGCCCACTCCCTCAGAGTCCCGCGCGTGGGGCTCGGCAGAGAGCCCTCGGGCTCGGACCTGGGCGGGCGCTTGCCCCCACCTGAACCGTAGCGCTGGGCCTGAGGAGCCACACACGCCCGGCGCCCCGCGGCCTCACGGACGCACACTCGGAGGTGACCGAGCCTGAGGCAGTCGAGCCCCCAGCCCGATCGGGGAGCGAACATGGCTCGCCCCTCAGGCCTGCAGATCGCCTGCAGGTCGCCTGACAGGCCAGTCTCCTCACCGCCAGACCACTTGACACTACGCCGTCTCAAGTCAAAAGGGCGATGTTTGCGAGGGGTAGCAGAGGTAGGGCAAGACTGCTCGCTGTGTTTGGCAATTTACACCTCAATCGGTACACGCCTCAGCAGCAAGTTGTAATTTCAAAGCTCTTAAGTATCCACCCTAATCCGGACTTCCAGTCTACCGCCTCTCCTTTCGCAAAGGCACACGAGATAGTTAATTCTAAAGGGAGCTCAATGACGAAGAGTTCCGGACTGCTCAAAAACTGCATATCCCAGGAGGCAATGCGCAGGGTAGAACGCGAGTAGGAGCAGGTTTTAGATAGCGTTAGGAAGGCGCGCGTTCTTTGCCTCAAACCTATTAGCCATTGGAAGGGCGGGAAAAAAAAAATCTGCATGTGAATTCAGATGGCCAATGAAAAGCGCGGAAGGGGCAAGGTGGGCAAGGCTGTGTGGTTCCCTTGGATACCGAGGACGCGACTTCACTGACGAGGGTAGAGCTTTAGTCTGAGACGAAGGAAGCCATAACCCACAGAGAAACGTAGGACCTTAAGTAACGATCAGTATCAGGGGAAGGACTGCGTTTTTAAAGGTGAGAACTGGATGCAAACTAGGAGTGCCTTCAGTGGGTGGTTACGTCCAAACTTCAGTAAATTAGAACGAGGTACTCTGGGATGGAGAATCCCTTGGCAAGAGGATAAAAAGCCAGATTGGTACTCTGTGGTAACTTTCTCTTGGACAGACTATATTGGAATAGAGTTAGAGTCCTGCCTTATTCTGACACTAAAAAATCTTAGGCCGGTCATTGGACGTCTCTGTGTTTTAATTGCTCGCTTTTAAAGTGAGGTCAATAATACGTTCCTTGTCATGTCTCAAAAGGTTTTTATAAGAATTAAATGAGGTAATGGATGTGAACTCAGAGCACAGGCCACGGAATTGCAATGTGAAGTACTGTATTTTTATTTTAGGGTTAACATTGACTCTAAGTTACGAAGAAAAACCTGAACAGCACGTGTGTTGATAGTAGCATCTATTTGTTTACAAACGATCCTCGGTTTTAGGACTAAAAGATACCAAAAAAAAAAGTCAACATAGTGCAATGTGAAGAACAGGGGACTGATTATTTTCCTGGCTCAGCCAGTGGTTTATTTATGTCACTTGGACCTGTTTCTTGTTTTGTTTTTCTTTTCTTTTTTTAAGATTTTATTTATTTATTTTTAGAGCGAGGAGAAAGGAGGGAGAAAGAGAGGTTGAGGAACATCAATATGTGGTTGCCTCTCACACATCCCCAAAGGGGACTTGTCCTACAACCCAGGCATGTGTCCTGCTTGGGAATCAAACCTGTAACCCTTTGGTTCGCAGGCCAGCACCCAGTCCACTGAGCCACACCAGCCAGGGCTGAACGTGTTTCTTCAAATTTAAGATGAAGAGGGATTGTACTGAATGACTCTATAAGCTCTCTTTACCTTTTATTATTCTGTGGGTAATTTAAAAAATGAAAAAGGAAATATTTTTTCCTTCTTTCCTGCTTATTTTTTGCTTTGGCACCACTTCCTCCTCCTACAAATTACTCTCTAAGTTCTCAGCGAAAACACAGCGCAAACAATGACATTTAATAAAATGCAAGTGCAGAAGCTGAATGCTCTAAAGACTGAAGCCCTTGGCAAAATGCAATAATGAGAATTACTGGGAGCTATAGTGATAGAGATGGAATAGAGTCCTAATGAGGTGGGCTAAAGTCCTTACAGGCACAAGTCACAGGGTTCTTTACTTTTTAAAAATTTAGTATTTTAAGTTTTTCTTTCCTCCTTTCTGTCCTAGTTTTTCCTCCCCCTCACACCCCGCCCTCTTATTCTTACTCCTAGTGAAGGCTCACAATAGGTGTTACCTATTAGGTTGACCAAATCCTGTTCTTGGCTTTTGTTTCATTTGGTCATAATTTTTCAGACTAATCTTCAAACTGTCTTTTTAATAAAAACACATAAGAATAACTTTGAAAAAGAATTTGAAAAAAGCATTAGTTTAAGCAAGTTAAGAATGCACTCATATTTGTTGTACACATGCCAAATATTTTTAGATTAAATAGGAATTTCTAATAGATAATTTTGTTTCTCTGGTAATTTCTTTTCTGAGACAAACCAAGTAAATGGAATTGGCAAGTGGCCCCTAGTTGTCTATATGACAAAATGATTGTTTTACTATTTTGAAGTAAATACAATAAACCTAAAGATGATTGACTGAAAAATTACTTTTCTGGTCACATGAGTTTGAAAAGGGAGAAAATAATTGATAATTAAGTTTAATGTAAGATATTAAAAAGTTATCAATTCTTTAAAAAGTCTAATGATTTATGTATCAGATCTGTCCACATGTCAATAATGACTAATAAATATACTACTTTCCATCTGTATGACAGTTTTCAGAGCATGCTCACAGGTATCCTCACGAAACACTGTGTTTAGCATGACAAGTGTTATTATCCTCACATTGTAGATGAGGAAAGTTTAAGATTAAACAGTTAAAAGGTCTGTCCCTCTTACCACTCTACCAAAAGGTCCTACCTTCCTGACACCTTTGGAGAAAAAAAAAATTCATCAAATGAATGGAGAATCATATATAAATTTCCCCCCTTATTTCAAGAGTACTTGTAAGATATTTTTACATCTTCACTTTTAAAAAAACCATTCCTGTGGTCATAAACATATAGAGCTGATGGGAATGTCAGTTATTACAAACTTTCCAATGATCAATGTAGCAATATATATAAAGTGCCTTAAAAAATGTGTGTATCCATGACCTGAAAATTGTACTTTTTAGAATTTAATGTAGGCATAAAATTAGGTATATTCAAAAAAACACATTGAAGGAATTTTGTTTTACAGGGTTGCTTATGATAGTAAAGAATTGAAGCAATTTAATATTAAAAATAGGAAGGTGTTGTATAAGTTATATACATCTGGAATATTATGCAACAATTTAAAGTTATATTTTGAAGACTAGTCAAAGATATGGGAATTCTTCCATAATATAATTGTAAAGGGAAAACCCACAGTTCTCCTTCTGTGTGTGACTCCCTTACTCTCATACTATTACCATGCTCACAACACTTCACTTTTGACAGTTCTGGTCACCAAGTGTGTGGGGCTCCTCCCCATAACAAGCAATTTTCTGCAACAACAGCTGGGTGTCCTGCAATTTAACTCAATTGTGACCCTATCTAGCCGGAGATAATAATGTCAGATCCCACAGGTTAAGAACTCAGTCCCACAAGATTGCTTGCACCCACTTCAGACGCCAATCGCAAATACTAGGTCCACTGATTACCCAAAAATTCTGTCTGATTTGGCTACATATTGGAGTTTCCCATGATCCCTTCCTCAGGGACAGAAGAAGATACTGCTCTCAGTAATACTAAGTGAAAAGGGTAGAATACCAAATTGTATGTCTACTATATACTCATTCTGTAATAATGATAATAGTAATTTTAACATAAAGTTATATTTAAAAATGTATTCCATAGAATCAATTCCAGAAGAAAATACATAACTTGATAACAATGGTTATCTCTAATTAGATGTGCAATAATGAATTATTTCTTCATTTTTTGTGTTTTCAATAGTAAAAATATTACATTCATAATTTAAAATATTTAAAGCATTTCTTAGCATATATTGCCTAAGACTGACTCAAATAATGAAATAGGTGGAGGATTTCTTACCATCTCTATGTAAATACTCATAAATATTTTACTTTATTTAATAATTTATATTCAATAAATTTACAGCAGAGGGCATGAGAGAGTTTTCAGAAAAATGTAACCTAAACACAGGATGATGGAATTCAGTTTAAGTGGGGCAAGCCCTAGAAATTTGTTAACTTCCTTAATTATAAACTTTTAAAACAAGTATATCTTTTGACTTCTTATTATGTAATCTTAATAAACTCAATAACCTAAACTACTAACAGTACTAAGAAGTATTTAATGAATCGGTAGGTAGTCCCATTTGATATTTACATGTTTATTTCCATGCAAGATGATGGACAGAAAAAAGATTGTTACTTAATGTAGTCAATTTTTTCCACTTTAAACATCTTGAGAAGTTACCTAAGTTATAAATATCTCAGGAAGATTCTTGAAGTAGGGGGATGTGAGTAGTTTATATATTAAAGCAATATGTATTTGTGCGTGTGTGTGTGTGTTTTAGATAGTATTTATTGGAACCACAGAGTTTACTTACAGAAAAAATTTAAAACCTTAATTTAGAGTAGAGTTCTTACAGTGCTAATGCTTTAATTCATTTCTATAAGGTAGCAATAGTGTTTCAATCAGTCACACAGTAATAGATATCCTTTGAGTAGAAATTACCTTTACATTCTATATATTTTGAGACTATATTGTTAGTTATGTATGGATTCAAGGTTATTTTTGTTTCCTGATAACTTTTTTGTCATTAAATAATGACCCTCTTTATATCTAGTATTGTGTTCTTTCTCGATGTGTATTATTATCTAATAATAAATAATATTTCCATTCTTTTATTTCAAACCTTTGACATTACATTTGGGACTTGTCCCTTACAAACAGAATGCAGCTCAGTATTTAAATTCTATTTGAGAATCTGTCTAAACAGGTAAATTTAATCCATTTACATTTTCTAAAATTACTTTTATATTTACTGGTATACTTATTTTTACTATCTTGTTTTGTATTTTACACTAAAATTTCCTTTTTTGCCTTATTTTGTTGTTCGTCTTTTTCTCCATTCATGTCTTCTTTTAGTCTAAATGTTTTTCTTTACTCAGCTTTTTCCTCCATAGTAATTCAGAAGGCTATTTTTTTCTCTTCTAATCATTAACCTTAAAGTTATAGCATACTCACAGGGCTTAGCAAAAGTTTAGTCGATCAATATCTTTATCCTCCTTTCAAACAACAGAATTTTTTAACATCAATCTTTTCCCTTCCACTTCCCATGTTATTTATTGCCTTGTATATTTTAGTTCCACCTTGTTTTTGAAGCCACACAGTAGTTATAATTATTGTCACTGTTTTTAATCAATGTTTTTAAAAAATTAGCAGTATTTACCTATTACCACTTTCCTGCAGATCCAGCTTCAGTTTTTACTGAAGTATATCCAGAGATTCAATGAGTCTCAGTAATTTCTTCAGAGTTGGTTTGAAAATGTCTTTATCTTACCTTCA